ATTCCTGGCGCACGCGTGCGCGCAGAAACAAGTAGACGCGCGCAAAGACGAGCTGAGGCTCTTCGATGAGTTCCTCGAGGAGCTGAAGCTGAAGGGGCCTGAGGCCTGGTTGTCGGGCAGTATGTTCCTTCACAAAGGGCAACAAAGAAGCCTCATGGGGGCTGGGGGGGAGGGAGGGGAAGGGGAGGAAGCCCAAATACCCTAATAAGGCCTTATTTGGGGCTTATTGGGGCTCCCTCCCCCCCCTCCCTCCCCCCAGCCCCAATGAAAGCCCAGGCGTTGCCGTCCCAATTGCAAACTATCGGAAGGAACAAAGGGGAGACTCCGATTCTCAAGATGGGGGTTTGTTTTTGTTGGTTCCATGTTAAACTGTAGGGGGTAACAGTCGTGACATTGAGGTTGGTTCTTATACGCTTCACTGTTATTCGCCTTTGTTTTCGTGAGTGAGTGAGTGAGTGAGTGAGTGAGTGAGTGAGTGAGTGAGTGCTTGCTTGCTTGCTTGCTTGCTTGCTTGCTTTCTTGCCTGCTTGCCTGCTTGCCTGCTTGCTTGCCTGCTTGCTTGCCTGCTTGCTTGCCTGCTTGCCTGCTTGCTTGCTTGCCTGCTTGCTTGCTTGCCTGCTTGCCTGCCTGCCTGCCTGCTTGCCTGCTTGCCTGCTTGCCTGCTTGCCTGCTTGCCTGCTTGCCTGCTTGCTTGCCTGCTTGCCTGCCTGCTTGCCTGCTTGCCTGCTTGCCTGCTTGCCTGCTTGCCTGCTTGCCTGCTTGCTTGCTTGCTTTCTTTCTTTGCTTTCTTTGCTTGCTTGCTTGCTTGCTTGCTTGCTTGCTTGCTTGCTTGCTTGCTTGCTTGCTTGCTTGCTTGCTTGCTTGCTTGCTTGCTTGCTTGCTTGCTTGCTTGCTTGCTTGCTTGCTTGCTTGCTTGCTGCTTGCTTGCTTGCTTGCTTGCTTGCTTGCTTGCTTGCTTGCTTGCTTGCTTGCTTGCTTGCTTGCTTGCTTGCTTGCTTGCTTGCTTGCTTGCTTGCTTGCTTGCTTGCTTGCTTGCTTGCTTGCTTGCTTGCTTGCTTGCTTGCTTGCTTGCTTGCTTGCTTGCTTGCTTGCTGCTTGCTTGCTTGCTTGCTTGCTTGCTTGCTTGCTTGTTTGGCTACTTTGCATTTGTTTTGTTCATTTTTTGTGCGTTCTGCAAGGCTGGCATGTGCTTCTTGCCAACACGCCAATCAGAGCAACCAATCAGCAGGCAAATGAGGAAGCAGGGAGACGGAAGGAATTTCCTGACAAAGGAAATCCACTTGTATCCCTGCTTCCTCCAAACCCCTGCCAGTTCGGAAAGTTGGTGCCCTCCCGCAAAAACCCATGATGCAAGTCCTTGGGTCGCTTATTTCCATTGTGAGAGTTAACACAACTTGCCCAGATGGCTACGCAAATTTGGGTGTATAAATGGATATTTACTGTACAATGCATATTGATACATATACTGATCTGTTTGCATATGCACATGGGTATGCGACTGGAGGGGGTGTTTCTGGGCCACAACCCTTTACGTGGGCGTATGTGGCTGCCCTTGAACAAGCCCTATGCCTCACCCCCTTCGGAAAAAATGGGGCCGGCCACCCCCAGAAGTGAAGGACCCCTCTAAAGTCCAAAGCGGGTGCGCCCTAGCCTTCAGAAGGTGGCTCACCCATGATGCATGTCCTGTGCTTGCCAACCCCTCAACTTTTGGTGATTAAATTGTCTTCGTGCCCCCCTGCGGATCAACAAGCAGCTCGTGTGTTTGGAGTAGTATCCTGGGTGGGGCGACCTTTTTTTGTGTGTCCATGTTATCTCATCCTTGGGCGGGTATGCATACACGCTCCCCTCCCGCGCATGGGCTTTCACAGGCGTACGCGGGTGTCGAGCCAGCGCCCCCACCGGCGGTTCAGGCCGGTGCAGCCGGCGCTTGCTATGCCCCACCCACTGGCCCAGTGGGGGGATTCCCTTTTCTCATTTCCTGAGTTCATGGACTTTAGTCACTTTTTTGGGCTTGGAACATTTTAGCTGCATACAAGCAGTTGGTTACCTCAACTCAGGAAGTGAGTTTCAAGTTGTTTTTCTGGGGGGTTTTCAGTTAAAGTCAGCTACTTGTGTGGGGTGGGGGGGGGGGTTGTTAAAGTCAACTACAAGAAAAAGGGTGCCCTGTAAGACTCACCACTGGGACCTGGCATCTTGAGGCCTTTTTAAGTCGAGAGAAACGGGCTCGAGATCGCAAGCACAGTTTGTGGAACCCATTTAAGGTCACCCACCTTGGTCCTGGCTGCGAAATAGCCAATGATTAGTGAGAACCCACATTTACCACCCGGTCCTCGCGTAGAAAGGATGTACTATTGCAGTGGCATGGTGATTCAATCGGGCAACGAAAAGACACATATATGCCTGTATGATATAACTCGTGTTGGGCTTGGCATGTCACCTGCAAGCAGGAAACCTAGGACTCATAAACCCCTGGTTGATTTTGAGTTTGACTGGGGGTGCAACCCATTTGTGGTAACATGTTTTGTTGAGGGGGAGATCCCCTTAAGTCTGCAAGGCAACCACTGTTCATGTGGGGTGTGGGGATTTAGTAACCATTCACCACCTTAGGGGGGAACACACGGGTATCAATTAAATAGGGGGTTTGGGAATCTGGACTTAATATTACTGGGCTTCTTGACCGACCGAACCTCACATGACGATGCACAACTTGTGTTGAACCCGGACTTAAGAAAGAAGAAGCTCCATACGCCTTCAGGTAGGGGGGATGGATGACTGGTAATGGTGGTACATGTACCGTGTTTTAGTGGAGGGTTCATTAGCCCGGGGTCAACTTTAGTCTATGGCAATTTGGACCATGGCTCGCGGCGGGTCCGGGTGCTTTCGCGCATCTCAAGCACGGATTTGCCTTCGCGACTGGCGTGCTCCATGGCGATGGACTCCGTGCCGTGGGCTTCCGAACGCGACTTTCGTTCGGCTTCTGCGGGGTCTGGTGGTTTTAAACATCAAAAGGTCCCCTGGGCTTTTGTTTGGGTTTTAGACGTCACAAAAGGTCCCCTGGGTTTTTGTTTAACTGTTTGAAGGGACAATTCTTAGAAGCCCTCTGACCAAAGGCTGGGTGTCCCTTTTAAAGCACCAAGTCCAAAGCATCGCTTTCGCACTGCATTGCATGCAGGCTTCCATTGAGCCGCGCCAGCCACGCGTCGCAGTAGGATGGGAGCCCAGGATCAATAGGGTCGCATTCTACGGGGACACCTGCACTTGGGATGTCGTCCATCAGTTTAGTTCTACTGGAATTGCGTGGGTTCGTCCCAGGTGGAAAAGCACAGAGTTGCGCAGCTGAACTTAGGGACCCCCCCATTGCACCGATCCGGGAAAGCCCCCCGAGGCCTTTGGCGCGCCATGTTTCCTAAGCCAAATTTCATTTCAGGTAACCCGTAGTTGGTGGTTTGGATTCTCAGTTGTTCAAAGCCGACCTTTTAACCTTTTGGCTTTTCCTTTTTGAACCATTTTTGCATTTGTAGTCATAAGTGAGGAGGGTAAACGGGAAAAGCCCCCAACAACCAAACCAATGGGCTTCAAGCCACCCTTGAAATGTGGGTCTTCCCCCTCGCCGGTTGGACATGCAACTAGAAAGCTGCTCCCATTGAGTCAACCATCCAACCCTCTCAACCCAGAAATCTGTGGATCCGGAGCCTCCAAGTTGGTGGTGTTCGCGGTTTCCCTTGAAAACCGCCAAAATTCAAAAAACCACGGGCCGCGCCCTGAACCAAGCCATCCAGTGACCTACCAACTGGGGCGGTGAGCCGAGCCCAGGTGCCGAAAGAGGTGCTGTTCAAGGCGCCCAAGGCGTGGCGGTTTTGAATTTTGCGGGGGATGGGATGCGGTTTTTCATTTAAAACATCAGGTAAACAAAAAGAAAATAAAGAAACAAACAGGTAAACATGGAGTGCGGTTTTGAATGTTTTGCGGATGGTGTGCGTTCTGAAAGGACATATTTGCCCAGGGAAAACCCTCAGCCCCTCGAACCGCTTGGATGCCTCTCTGAAAGCTGGACCAAACCACACAGGCGATTTGGGCAGAGACCGCATAGCCTTCGGATGTTGGGGAAAAAGGAGCTGCCAACGCGTTTTCGGTTGGAGTTGGCACTTTTCCCATTTCTCGCTTCGTTCAGTGGATTAAGGTATCCACTTTTTGTCCTTTTTTGTTTGGAGGCTACTCCACAAAAAATACCCAAAATTGGGCGCCGTTTCGACCTTTCGGCGTCACTATATTGCCACTGGACAGGTGGAGGTGCACGTGCATCTCGACGGCTCCTTTGACTCAGAGGTGCTTTTCCGAGCCGCCCAAAAGCATTTGGAGGACGGGCGTCGTGTCGTCGCGTGTCGCAAGCTCTTCGCTTCGGCATGTCATGGTAAACATACATCGACGTAGGGGACCCCTATAATGTGTTTTTGTTTTTGTGTTGTCCCTTGAAATCGCACAAACCATTGTGCCCTCCAAAATGCACATCTGCGTTGTTTGGGTTTCAACGGGAAGTCGAAGGGAAACCAGCTGCCGCAAGCGGAAAGGACGTGCTGGTTCACTGTAGAGGGCGCAATACCTGAAGCAAGCAACGCTCATGGACAATTTGTTGCTCAAGTTGGACTTATATGAACTTCTTTCCAGGCACAGCGGGTTCCCGACTTCAGCACTCCAGACATCTGCTGACAGTTGAGGAATGAATTTGTTTGGCTCGCGTTAGGAGCTGCCTGTGCAAGTCCGGACTCCCTGGGACGGGAAGATGCTGGAGGTGCGCGAGGTGGGCACGTACGAGAAGCGTCCCCGGTGGGCTTGTCTCATGAGGGGAGTTTTCGTTTGGTTTCTCTTCAAACGCCCCCCGCTTTAAAGGGGTGCTCTGAACAACGATATGTTCAGGTGTTCTCCAAACATGGTGTTCTCCCAAACTGGCTTGGGATCCCAGTGTCTTTTTTGTTATTCCTCTTTCGAGTCCACCGAAATATCTACGCACGCACCAAAACGCTTGGCACCGCAGGCCATTCGCAAGTGCAAGGACTTGGCCCAGTTCAAGTCTCTCGTCACGGCGCCTCGCCCATGGCACCGTTTTTTTCCTTTTCTGGTTTTTCTCGTTTTTTGCCGCTGGCGCTTCCTGAGTTCCTCTCTCCCTGACTTCCTCACCTCCTGAGCTAGCTTGGACTTTGGTCACTTTGGCTTGGACCATTTGAGCGGCAAAGGCTTGGACTTCTTTTGCTTAACTCACGGAAGTGAGGATCCCCGCTCCATGCTTTGGGGTTTAGACAACTGAGTGTGGGAAACAAGTCTGGACTTTGTTGGGCCTTTCCACTCAGGAAGTCAATTAGGCCGATTCCAAAAGGGCGGCTTTGGCAGCTGTCCTTACTTTTTAGCTGGTTTCCTCGGGGTTGGGGGTCATATCTAAGGCCTGTAACATTTATATTTATAGCAGTTGCCTTGGGGTCGATTTCGACTGCTCTTTTTGACAGTGGTTCTTTTCAACAACAAGCTGTTTGCCCAGGCTTAAGGATTCCTGGAAATGGGGCCAAGTTCATTCCAGCTGTTCAGTGCCCTTTTTCCCTCTTTGTTTGGTGGGGTCCCTCGCCCCTTTAGAAGGGTTCCCTCTTGCGAGCGCAAATGCGGGTTCAACGAACTTTGTCGTGGGATCATAGAAATGACGCAATTGGCCAGGTTGCCAGCGTCTGTGGGCCAAGGGAATCTCTCTTCCGATTGATTTCTCCAAGTATGGCGAGTTCACCTTGGCAAATTCTGCGACTTCGTTGGGGGGAATCCTGATTCAAGTGATACAGTAGTCATGGCTGGACGGGCAGTAGTCATGGCTGGATGGGAATTCCGCTTGGGCATCATAGGAAACGGACGCATTTGCAAGAACCGTGGACAACTCCTTCGTGTTGGGCAAGCAACCCGCGGTTGAACCGCGAACGTTCGGATCCCACTACGTATCTATTTGTCTATTTGTTCGCAGGAACGGTGTCATTTGTACCCTAGTTGGCATGAACCCCCAAAACCGTCAGATCTAGGAACGGAATCGTCGTTTGGGAGAACACCTTTCTTGAGGCTTGCTGCTATCAAATTGCAGCGCAGTCATACCTATGACTGTCACAACGCCATGCGGTACCATATTAACATGAAATGTGGTGCCTTCGCAATGGAGGTCAGCGTTGCGGCACTGAGTCTCATTTTTAGGGACGCGCCTGGTTGTTTGCTAGTGTGTTGGTTTTTGCGGCTGTTCCTTCCATCGATTTGCGCATTTGTTTTTTGGGAACATGATCCCCTTCAACAAGGGGGTCCTTGTTTTGTTGTTTTGTTTGTGTTGTGTTTTTTCTTCCGGGGGGGGGGGGGGGCAGGTGGGGGGCAGGTGGGGCGGGGGCAGGTTGGGGGCAGGTTGGGGGCAGGTGGGGGGCAGGTGGGGCGGGGGCAGGTTGGGGGCAGGTGGGGGGGGGGGCAGGTTGGGGGGGGGGCAGGTGGGGAAAGACGTGCTGGGCCTCTTCCCCATCCTGGACTGCTTCTACGTGTTCCTGCCCATCGTCAGGGGCCGCTTCGAGGTGCTGGAGGAGCTGTCTTACGAGTTCTGCCGGGAGCGGAAGGCGCAGAACATCATCTACACCGAGGCCTTGGGAAGATCGCTTTTCGCCATTTGCGGGGGGGGATGGCCTTTTGGTGGTTTTTTGTTGGTGGTACCTGTTTTTTGCGACTGGTAGGCAAGCTGTCGGAGTGTGTGGATCGAGATCCTGTGAGCCGACAGGTGCGATACTCCCCCTTTGAGTTCCTGAAGCAGTGTGAGGATGGGATCGCGGATGAAAGCCAAGCAGAAGAAGCGGTCAAGGCAGGACGCGGCATTCGCGTAGTCTCTCTCTCTCTCTCTCCCACTAACATGGCACCTGCCAGAGGGTCCCTCCAAGTACCCTCAGGTGCCATGTTAGTTGGAGGAAGGGCAATTCAGAGCCATATCGCAAGGGGAACCATTGCGGCATAGTCGCATTTAAGGACTACTTGGGCCACGACCCTCCAAAATGGGTGATTGGGGGAGGAGCGCTGCGGTATGGTGAGCACCCCTACTCAAACCCCTTCATACACCCCTGCTGGATCAATTGGAGGGTGATCCACTGATTCGGAGCCATGGCAGGAGTCATTGCAGCCCAGCGGCGATTAGGGGCTATGATCTTCTCAAAAAAGGACACACAGATCTAGGGTACCTTCCCCATTCTTTTCAGGGATCCTTCTTTTCAGGAAATAGCAAAAACCCAGGTTGGAAACAGATCCGGTTTTTGAAAGAACGATGGCTGAAAAGAATGGACAAGGAATGAACCCCTACCTAGTGCTTCCAGATACCAGTATGGTAGGTAACCAGGGAAAACCATCGGTAACACCTAGAGGTAAGGATTTCTGGTTACCAGAATATTTTCATAAAGGGGCACAAATTATCCTGGCTCTCTCGTTTCAGCTGAGGCGGTGTGTTGCGGCCTGGAGCGGGGCCAAAAGGACTTCGGAGTGCTGGTGCGCCAGATCTTGTGCTGCATCGCCGCCCAGCCCAGCTGGTCTCAGAAGACTGCCCAGCTTGCGGCGCCCCAAAATCCCAAAACTGAGCGCCCGGGGGGGGGGGCGCTCTGTAAGGGACCTTCAGTCAGGTGCCGTGTTAGTAGGGCGGGTCCAAAAAAGGGTGGCACCCTGGAAAAACAAGATGGGCTGGACTTTTCCGTTTGGTAACCTTGCAGGCTCCTTGGGTTGTGCAGGCCATAGTTGTGGTGGGAAGCATCAAAGCCCTGGTAGATGAAGACAGGCCAGGGATACTTGGGACCATAAATGTGTGCCGCTTTGTGAATTCTTGAAGCATTCTGGGTAGGCCATGTGAATTGGTTTCGGGCTCGGGAAGGGACACCAAAAGGGTTTCAAAAGCCGCATACTTTTCGGGGAGTTCTTTACCATGTTTTGGTGCAGAGCGTTTCGAACCCAAAGGCGGTGGTAACCAAAGGGAGTTTGGAACGATCTCGTGTTTTGGGTGTTTCTTGGGCACTGAAAACGGGGCTGGCTCCCAGGCGGATGTTGACTTTCCCGCCTGGCTGACACTTTCAACATGTGGCGCGGTTTTGAAGCTTTGGCAAATCCTTTGCAACTTGGCCATTCCACAGGGTGCTTCAACTTCCAACTCCTTGTTGTGCCCCTTAACATATTGCTTCAGCCAATTCGTTGGGCTGAATGAAAGTCGCGTGTGCTGGGTCTTTTTTAGGCCGGCCTAGGGTGGGGTTCGGGAGACCTCAGCTATTATATGAGTGGTTAACGGGGACCAACTTAGAGTTGGCCGTTAAACAGGTGGCATTTGCCCAGTTGAAGGAAACTGGCAATATATGTTGGTCTTGTGGGGACTTGTTTGCTAGAACGGGGATTGTTTGCTAGAACGCTAAGGTCTTGACATGGAGCGGTGTTGGGTGATGATCCTAGGTGGCTCAAGAGTGCAGCATTTCCGTAAAGCAGGTGCATGTGCGAGCAATTCTCCTATGGTTGTCCGGGGCCCCCATAGAGGGGCTCAAAAGGAACCCTATTAACCCTACCTATTCCTAGCTTCACACTGCAATGACTCACCAACCCCAAAATCCGGCGGGTTTTTGTGGGGCCCGGTGGGAAAGGATGTGGTCTTGTTCAACCCCATTCTGCTTGGCCTAGTCAACTACAAATACACGGGCAGCCGGTTGTTTGCATAAATATGGGCCACCCCTTCATATGGGTACAGGAAGGTGACAGGTCACTTAATTCCCCCCTCTCCCCCGAGGGCGCCCGGGCCCCCCTCCTCGAGTCCAGGTGCAGTATGCTGAGCGCGGGGTGGTTGGCCTGGACATTGCCTCTGGGGAGATGCACTTCGAGGAATGGGACGCTCTCAGAATCCTTGGGTTCGGCAAGCCCCATCCCGAAAAAGGAAACACGAGGGATATGAATCATAGTCATTCCCTTTGGCCAAGTAAAAGAAGTGCCTTCATGGCACGAATATGGGAATGACAATTGGAGATCAGCAGAGTTGGTTCCCCATGCAACTGCACTCAGGCGGTTCTTCCAGTTTTCTTTTCATGGCACTGCACCAAGCGGCAGGAAATTACATCCACACTCCACGCCGCTTCAGTCGCTGTCGGTCGCGATTTTCCTCGCAGGATGCCGCCCTGCAGGCAGCGCACCGCCAGGCTGGATCGGTCGCATGCAAAGAAAAAGGTCGTGGGTCGGCGGGCGGGCGCCGCAGAGAGCTCCCCCCCCCCCGGTTCATAGTTTGGTTTGCCAATCCCGAGAATATATGGCATGACTCCCTTGATTTGTTTGGTTACAATGGCATTGTGCCACCTACTTTCGCCTGGCAAAACGCGGCTTGTACAGTTAAGTAGGCTAGTCGCATCGATTTGGCTTGATTGTCTCCCTGCCGTTGGGGAAAGTATTGTAGCGGGGTCGCATCGATTCTTGAATTCAGGTTGCGTTTAGCATCCTTTTTCCTTTCAAGTGAATGGGCTCCGGCTGATTGCAGTGACAAGCAAGCCAGTGTAGTTTGCGGCAGTCTTGCAGCGTGCTTCAAATAATGAAACGCAACCTAAACGTGGAGGTGATGTGACCCTGATGTGACCAGGTCGCATCGACTTTGTTTCATAGGAGTGAAACACATTTCAAAAAAGTTGATGTGCCTAGCCCATCTGACTGTAAATGGGGCTGTCCTTTTTTTGAGGGTGCCCACTTTGGGGTTGTTTTAAAGACATTCCCCAACCATGGCGGGTCCAAATCCTGTTTGTGACAATCCCATGCTTGATTTGGCAAACATCCACTGTTCCTGGCTTCGGCATCCACCCTTTTCTTTGGCATGCTTTGGTTGAAAACGAACTGTAGGATTCTCACATGGTTTCCTCCTTTTCCTCTCTTGGGACCTCCAACAGTGGCGATCGTGTCAACGAAAACCAGCTGTAAATTGACCCGTTCCTGGACGTGATACTTGTGCGAAGACCATTTTCGTGGCCAAGAAAAGTAAGCAAAGTTCAGACTTTGCATCAACTTATCAACTTCCATTTGGTTATCAACTTCCTGTTGGATTTAAAGGGAATCTATCACTACTGTTTTTTTTCTTTTCCAGGGGACTTAAGCAAATGGAGGTCAACTTGGGAAGTGAGCCCCTGCATGGAAGGATCTGTCACCCAACTTGTACTCCATGCGCAGGCAACGGACCTGGCCAAACACGCCCTGGGCGTCACCGTGCACGCCGCGGAAGCGGGCCCAGGCTGGCGCAAACAAGTTTCGCTGCTTGAAGTGCGCACAACTTTTTCTAGAAGTGCACCAACTTGACGGAGGGATTTCGATTTCGCGGTTTCGGGAGCTCATTTGCTTGAGTTCCTGGACTTTAAAGGTTTTGGGAAGGTCATTTTGGTGGCCATCCAAAAGTTCGGACTTTGTTTGGCCAGTTTGGGGATCCATTTTTTGTTGGATCCTGTGCTGAAGATGCGCGCAGCTCTCGTAACAAGCCAGGCCGGCTGGCAAATGTTGAGACGTTTTGGCCGATTGCGTGCATGCAGCCTGAAAGCCTCAAGAACACGGCCGACTCAGGTACTGTACCTGTTGGCCAGCTAGAAAATCACATTTACATTGCTGATGTTCAGAGGATGCTTTCCTTTGTTGTAACTCAATGGGAGAAGGAGCTGCATAACATGACTCTGTGCTTCTTTTCCCTCCCTCCCTCCCTCCCTCCCCTCCCTCCCTCCCTGCCTCCCTCCCTCCCTCCCTCCCTCCCTCCCTGCCTCGCTTCCTCCCCCCCTCTTGCTCTTTCTATATCTTTGGCCAACACAAACTCCAGTTTTGGAGTTTCTGCTGCTTTCCGATTCCACCATGGAATTTGCATCAAGCTTTCCCGCGGGCAAGGGAGCTACAGTCAACACAGGGCTAGGTGAAGGTCTCCTTGAGGAATCTTGCTCTTGCGATAGGCAGGGAATGAGGAATGCCCCCTATAAACCACCCAACTGATGGTTTCCTTTAAGGGAATCCCCAGGCTCATTCCCACCTTCCCTGCTTATCGCACCGATCGCAAGAACTGGCAAAAGCTCCCGGAATTCACCTCCAAACCGATTCGGCTCCAAAGCAAACCACGAGAGCTGACTTTCGGATCGCAGGCGGCAACGTCCAGCAGGCGCTGGATCTGTACAGCGCCAGCCGCATCGGCCACGGGTACCGGTGCCTCGACACCGAAGCCTATGAGGCGGCGAAAGCGAAAGGCCCGGCCTGGGTTGGTGAAGCAGGTCCTAGTAATGACCCTATTTTTTGGGGAAGCCAAAGGAGCTTGTCTAATAAAAGTGTTTTGTTTACATGTTTTGACAGTTGGCTCTACTTTGAGGGGAACTTGAGACTATTGGTCTCATTTCCGTTTCTGAATGAGCTCATGTTAGTGTCTGTCAGTGCTCAGTGGGGAGGCCTGAACTTCAGAATGTGGAACTGTTCCTTTCCTCAAAAACTGGCAGGCTTTCTATGGATGAGGGAAGCCCAACTTTGAAGCTCTTTGTGGGTAGATGTTGGCATTGTTGGGCCGGAAGCGTGTCTTTGTCGAGCAGAAATGGATGCATCCAGTTGCTCATTGGCGCCCTCAAGCTGTTCACACTGCTTTTCTTGCCCTACCCCCCCAAATCGGCATGGAACCCCACAAGTGAACTCTCAAAACGGCGCTTCCTCTGAGAATGGCGGGTGTGTGAGGCTCCTCTAAGGCAGTCCAACCCATTTTTGGTTGAGAGGTTCCCCAGGGGATCTGAGCGAGACGCAGGCACCCACTTCGAGCTGTGCCCAAGCAGCTCGGTCAGCACCCAGGCAGTACAGCTCAAGCACTGGTCGGAGCCAAGGCCCGCAAGAAGTCGGCCCTTTTTCGGTTTCGGCTTTCCGGTCTTCGGGCTGTCGCATGTTTTGTTTGCTGCTTAGTTGTCTTTTTGTTGACGGTTTGTGTTGGTCTGATTTAGGCATTTGTTTTTTGTGTTTCCCGCTTTTGTTGTTTGTAGTAGCTTCTTTGCAAGCGATCTTCCTGACAAAAGGGCGGTCAAGCAAGTTGGTGAGGCCTACGATGAAAGATGGCCCAAGCATTACCTTTTGGTCGCATTTGAGGTGGGTTTGCTTTGGTGGTGCTGTTTTGACCGGAAATATAGGGAAGCCTTTGTTGTAGATAAAAGGCCTAAGTTTTGACACTCACTGAGGAGACGGGTTGCTCCGAGCCATCAAAACATGTCAAGAGACGGAGCGGTGTTGTGTTTGGTATTGTGGGTCAATGGGCCATGGATAGCGGAAATTGTGCTAAAACAATGGCTGTTTCAACAGTAGAACCAGTGGGTCCTTGTTGTTTTTCCGTGAGCGATTCTTTGGAGCACCTTCGAGGCCTCCATGTTGCGCCGAGCCGCCAAGTAAGGAGCATCCCATCCGGAGATTCTTCCAGGAGATTCAGATGCGCCACGCGGCGAGGGTTGCCTCCCTTGATGTTCAATGTCATTTCTTGGGGCTGCCTCGAAGCACCTCAGCCACCCCCCCCCCCAAAAAAAGAAAAACAGCTCCCCCCCCAACGACCCCAAAACAGCTGGCCATGGTTCCCGGGTCTCAGGAATTTCCTTCAAGCACCGAATCCAAAAGCTTCTCGTTCTTTTTTTTTAGGGCGCCGAGGAGGTGACCCGTTGCTTGGCACTTAGGCAGGCCGTTAAGGCCTTTTCATGGTTTTGAGGTGCTTCTCAAAAAACAAGTGGGAGCTTATGGGAGCTTCCTTTTGGTTTCCTTGTTTAGAACCATCCAAAAAGCCCCCCCCATTTTGATACGCACCCATGTATTATATCTGTTTCTCGGCGCGATCCAATTTGTTTTTTGGCCTTCCAGGACCGCACCTCTTGCTCCATCAACTCGGATGCTCGGCGAATGTAAAAGCGCTGGCAGGTGGGCCACGTCCTAACCCGATTGGATGGAGGTGTGTAAGGGATATGTGGGTTTTGCCATAAACGGGTGCAGTCAGTCGCCTTTTTGTTTTTATCTTGAAGCACATGGTTTTGGGTACACCATGTTGATAAGTACTGGGTTTTTATTGTGACTTGTTTGTCCACATTCTGACTCCCTGGGTGTTGGTCCATATTCGTGGTTTGGGTTGGTGGTGGTTTGGGGAGTTGAACCCCCTGGTTCTTGTAGGGGGTTGAGTTTGGGGTTGGTTGTGGGTTTGGGTTTGGGGCCAAATTTGTGGATGGTGTGGGCTAAATTTCCGGCTCGTTTGGAGCAGTTATGAGCAGTTGGATGCTGTTCAGTGAGCCTTTTCGCCATGGACAATTGCAGGAGTCATGGGCCGACACAAAGAGCGCAAGACACCCAATTTCCCGCATTGGTTTGTGAGGATATCCCCACCACGTTTTGTTTCTCACGTGTTCTTGTTTACCTGGCAGTGCAGGCCTATTTTCAGCTGCGAAGTTCTGACCCACGAGCGTTTTGACTTACGTTGTTCTGTTACTACAGACCCTTTTTCGAGATCTGTAGCTTCGGGCCGAGAAACTCTCAACTTCCAAGTTGAGGGTTTCGAGCCCTCAACTCCTTCTCTTGCTTCTAAGCGGATGGATGTGAGGATGACCCCGCCATCTTCCAGTGCTCCTTGACGGATGAGCTGGCGCTCTGCTTGGAGATGGGCCTCACTCTGCAGGACCTGCGCTGGATGACGCTCGAGGCGCTGAAGCACAGCTTCAACTTGGAAGCCCACCTCAAGGAACTCGCGAGACACGCGGCTCGCGTCGAGCCGCAAGGCTCTGACTGGCTTTGCATGGTGAATGCACCTGTCCTATGAATTCCCCACCAAACCCATGGCACACACTAATCATGAACTGGGGGTGATTAGTCTCACAACGGCCTGACTTTTCTTGGTGCTTGAGTGGTTTAGATCTTTTTAGTTGGTTTAGTGGTAGGTGTTCCTTATTTAAGCCACTTAAAGTTAACCACTCTTAGCAAGGGGTCTGAGGACAGCCCAGTTTTAATATTGACCCCGGACTAATAAACCTGCCCCATTAATAGCGGGTGCTCCCTCCAAAAGTCCCTATTACCTAGCTGGGGGTGATTAATTTGTCATTCACCCTGTGAGTTTCTGAGCTCATCGGACCATTTTAGCGGCTAGCTTGGCCTTCGAGCCCACGCGAGTGAGTGAGTTTAGCGTTTTGGGTTTATCACATACCCCACAAGTTGGACTCTCGCAAGCACCAAGTAGAAGAGCATCGTCACCTTCTATATCAACAAATGATTCAGCTGGCATACTTGAACCTTCTCCCTTTTCGCTACGAAATGTTTTTTGGGGCAGCATCCCCGTAATCTTGGCCTGTGGCTGCTTTTTGTTCCAATTTGGGTGTTAAGCGCAATCTCCCCGAACCTAGAGGCGACCAACAGGCGAACATTCCCGAGCACAGCGCTTGATAATATGACCCTGCAGAAACAGGAGCATGCCGATCAACGTGGGGCCCTTGGCGGATTTTCTTTGGGCTTCTATAGGAAGTGTTTTCCACGAAGAACATTCAGGGGAAGACACGTTACAAGGCTTCTGGTTTAGGAAATGCAGGTCAAAGCTTTGGCCTGTTACCTTTTAAAGAGACTTTTTGGTTTAGTCTAGGGGTTCATCTAAGCCCTTCCCAGCTCGGCTAAAAGCAAACGCCTTAGACCTGGCAATGCTAAATCAGTACTAATGCAAGTGCTGTCAACCTGAAATTGAGTCGGGCAACAGGCTTGGCAAGCCCAAGTCCAACCCAGACCTCCCAATTGTCGTTTCAAAAGGGTCGGAATGACAGTTTGCACAGGTCATGTTAAACGGGGTCCTGCATTACACTCGATGCGTGCATGTGTATGATATCACTGCCTTGGTGGTTCGATGTCTTTTGCTCGGTTGGCATCTGAACATGTTTTCGTATGCGCGGGGGTCTCCTGAAGGAGAGCCTCGCAGAGACGGTGACCGCCTTTTATGACCGTCAGACTGGCGCGTGA